ACTATTTAATAAAAGTAAAGAAAAAGCGGAAAACTGAGATCATGAAGAAAGGAGGTACAAGCGAGAATTCATATCACTGATTGGCACGAATATACACAAAATGCCATCACAAGAACTTTTTGGTACTACCATAGAGCAATATTCTGAAATTAAGTTTTTATTGACTGTTATTTGGATTTCTATTATTCTATTTCAGACAGTAATCTCATCACCGTGATTATCTTGATATACTAGTAATTTGACATTTATTGTTACTTCCTATTACTATGTCATAATTGTTATTTCATGTTTAAGGGCAATGTTATTCCGCACTCAATCACTTTAATACTTCTACTAGCATTATCATCATTGGTATATTTGGCATTATAGTTCTTCATCGAGTGATCATTATTACTATCGTCATCATCATTATTTTGGTTTTAATTACATTTATATCAATTTGCTATAAAATGTTATAAACAGTGTAAAATAATCACTACAAGCATCTCCCTTTTGATGGCTCAATTTGATAAGATAATTCCATCAGGCGCCGCTGATTGTCGATCACTTTGAAATTCCTACAAAAACTACAATCGATGGACCGATTTTATGAAAAGACGAAAAAGCAAGTTTTAAAGAATTCTTTACGAAACTTTTTAGATATTTAAAAATTTGTGAGAGAACATCCAACGACCAATAACTCCATATGGTAAAATAATGGAATTTATCTTAATAGCTGAAAAAAAAGATCACTTACCTAACAAGGTTTTTTGATCTGAAAACTTTTCGTTCAAAGGTGACAGCTGAAAAAGAAAATGGTTCAAATAATTATAATAATGTATTAGGTATTTTAAGAACAATGCGAAGATTCTGGCGTTATTAAGTGATAACATTTTGATATCATAATGGTATATCCAGATACCATAATGCTATATCCATTACACGTGCCAAAATATAATGATAAATGATATGGTGAACACTTTACAAATATTAGTCAGCCACTGATCAAGAAAAAAGAAAACTCTTACTGATAAATTAGGATTAGTAGTAGTTATGAAATAATATGAGGAACATACCTGGACATTTGCAATGTCTAAAGCTTCGCAAAACATTAGCAATCATATGCTGAAATCATTTCAAATATTTGAAATAGTTCTCACGAGGATTAATTAATATAATTACATATGACATAAAGATGATATTGGAAATATAGATGATATTGGAAATATCATCATTTTTTTCTTTCTTTTATAACTTTTATTTCCACTTATTTTACTGGTTCGATACTGGGAAGGAAGAAGAAAAGAAACTTTGATATTGAATTGTAGCAAATTTAATTTGAAATGGAATTTGATATATATAATATACATAAGCTTGAATAGTCGATATCGAGATTCATAAAATGACAAGTAAATAATTGAAATCAAATACAAGCTACACGACAAGCCTCTATCAAAATATATATGTATAATAATGTGATAGATACTTACCATTTTTTCAAAATTGATTAAGCCAGCAAAATAGGTCTTATTGCCTTCATGCGTAAATGTTAAATCCTTGAGGAGTAATGGAATAAATGGTACCGTTGGCGCACTCATATTAGCTGTAAGCATCCGATAAGCACGATGATTACGGCATGGATCAAGCAATTCTTCAAATTCCGCATATTGTTGTTTCATTTTAGTTGGAAGTTTCTAGAAATAATAAATGCAAAATTTATCTGCAAAACAATTTAATGATAAGATGGTAATATATGATCTTATCATTTTTTGCTCCATAATTCAGATTGAAATGTTAGATTTATTTAAAATTAACGCTTTTGTGAGAAAAATATCTCAAAACAACATAAAATCGTGAAAAAAATAAAATTAAGAAAAGAAAATTCTTTTGAATAAACTTACATCCCAAAGATGAGTAATCCGACTAACAGCAACATTACTTAGACCTAAGATANCTTTTGTGAGAAAAATATCTCAAAACAACATAAAATCGTGAAAAAAATAAAATTAAGAAAAGAAAATTCTTTTGAATAAACTTACATCCCAAAGATGAGTAATCCGACTAACAGCAACATTACTTAGACCTAAGATAATCGCAAACAATGACAATAAATCCCTGTTTTCTTTTGCGCTGCAGAATTTACACATATTTTTATTTTAATCATTTTATTAAACGAATTAAAATTAAGATATGGAGCAAGTGGCCAAATTAAATTTTAAAATAAATTTGAATTTGAATGTGAACCGAATTTTTTTTGATGCAAAGAATAAATTAATTAAGTTTCGATTTCTGTTTTTATCTTCAAAAAAAGCATAACATACAAAATCTTTGTTGTTATGCTTCTTCATCTATCGATTGAAATAATTCTATAAATTACTTTTTCGTTTTTAAATTAATAAATTATATGAAACTTACTGAGCAGCAATTTTGATAAATTTTTTAAGAATAGAAAGACGTTTTGCACTGCCTTGTGCAAGCAGTACTTCTGTCGTTGTCCAAAATTGTACCTCATTGAAACGACGCATTAAAAGATCTAAATTTGATGTTATCCGATTGGGAAATTGTTCACGTCCAAATACCTAAAATAATATGAAAATTAAACATTTGAAATTTAAAAAGTTTTTCGTTATTTTTCAACAAAGAATTTAATTTGAAGAATAAATATAAGTGAGATTAATGAATGAACCTGAGTGATGAATTCAATATCATCGGTTGCTTCTAATAATTGAGTATGAAAGATGAGCAACTGTTGAGCAATGTCAACACTACTTAAATAGTCCAGCAATGAGGAATGAACACTTTCTGATGGACCATTTTGTTGTGGTACTGGTANGAATTCAATATCATCGGTTGCTTCTAATAATTGAGTATGAAAGATGAGCAACTGTTGAGCAATGTCAACACTACTTAAATAGTCCAGCAATGAGGAATGAACACTTTCTGATGGACCATTTTGTTGTGGTACTGGTACCTGAAATTATTTTAAATTAATTTTTCAAAGAGGAGAGAGTATGATTCTTTACTTCTTTCATCGCTATAATTTGAATACCAACAAAAGTTTCGCATACATCTTCAAAAATTAAGTAAATTTTTGAAATTTATTAAAAACTTTTTGTTTCTTTCAGAGAGTTTAATATAAAGAATAATTGAGATTCAATAATTTAAATAATAAATATGATATTATTGAATGTTGAAATTGATGACAACTTATGAACTTTAATTCAAATATCTATCTTTTTTTTAGAAAACGAAAATCTATTCGAAGATTAGAAGTTACCAGCGTTTCAATTTCATCGTTGTACGCAATATACAAACGTCCATTCAATGAAATCATTGTTGGAACACTTATATCATTCGGTGAAAAGATTATTTTTTCTGAAAAAAAGAAATAATATTAAAATGCGTATTTTTGAAATAAGACTTTGAAAAATTAATTTGATGAAAATTTGTAACTTTTTCATAAGCTATTGTTATTTTCATTTTATGATTGTAAATTTTTTGAAATTTCTATTAGATAATGAAAAGCTAAGAAGACTTCTACATTTTAAATTTTCCGAAAATTTTAAAAAAAATAAAATGTTTTATGTTTATTATTATAGTCATTGAGAATTTGAATTTTATAATCCGTGATAGATATGTATTTCAAAAAATAGAAAATCCATAATTTGCAAAGTTCACCTCCACTACTTTTCACTTCAACTAATTGCAATTTTTCGTCAGAGCCACCGTAGAGCATTTTTGTTTTTGCCATTTCACAAATATCAGCAGCAGTTTTATCAAGTCTTATGCTCATTATAAAAGAACTTGTATCGGATAGATAAATTACTTGATTACCTAAAGAAATCAATCAATAAATATACTCTTACTGTGTAAGGAATAATAATATCGAAAAATTGATTATGGAAATTTTAGCAGTTGTGCAAAATTAAATCGCGATTTAAGCAAAATATAAATAATGAAAAGGAAAGAAAAAAAGCTGATTATAAAGTAGCAAATTGGAACGAACAAGTATCAAATGGTAATATGGGATTTGGTGCTGGTGCATGATTACAGTAAATACCACAATCAAGTACCACTGACGAATGCCTATTAATCGTTTGCATTGCATTTTCACGAAGTTGTCGTATTGCATGCATTGGTTCTAAATTTGATAACATCTCTGGGAATTGTTGACTATCTTCCAGAACATAGCAATATAATTCCTGCAATCTAATTTTTTATTCTCTAATAGATTAAGATTATTTAAATTTTCTTCATTTTATCATTTTGCCTAATTTTTTTTTGTAGCTGTGATATTATTAGAGAAATATATAATTCGTTTAACATATAAATATTTATTTGAACAAGAAAAAATGATAATTAATTGTTTGTTGAGTTTAATTTTTATTGTGATAAATTACTGGAGAATTGAAAATTTTGACCTCAACAAAACTATTCGATGCAGGGTCAAGAAAGAATCGTAAACCAAGAATTTGTACCCATAAATTTAAAAAAGCAACTACACGTCGTTTTGCAACAATTTTATGCTCATAATTATCTATTAAAAGTGTGCCATCCATTCGGACCTGCAAGAAAGAAAACTCATAATAAGTGATAATTTGGGAAGATTAAAAGATTATTATGGAAAATACTCCAATGAAAATAAGATTAAAACAACAAAACTTATTCTTTTTTTCAAATTCCTAAAAAATTGCTAATTTCAAAAAAAAAAATTAATCAAAAATTCATATACGCTAAAATTAGAGTTAAGAGTTTTCTACGCTAATGTTGTAGAAAGATGAAATATTTGACATTTTGAATATACGGTTAGAAGTTGAAAAAAAAATTATTTTTTAAAACATACAGTTGAACCACGCATGTAATAATTTTTAAGATAACTGCATAAAATGTTCACAGGCATGTGAGTGATATGTGTAAGAATGAAATCCTCCAGAAACGTATCTACTAAGCCATCATCAGTTTGCGCATCAATTCGAGTTTCCAATAAATATTCAACAGTTTTCTCCGGCATACCAGCCATAACGGAATAACTAAAAACTAGTTTTTTTGAAATTTTCAAAATTTACTTTAATTATCTATTCTTCTAAAAGATTTGACAATTTCGTCAGTATATATCCACTATAATTTTACAGTGCTTTAATTCGTTACTAATTTTATCGATTTAAATTGCTAATTAATTTTTTATCTTATTTTATGAAATTTTTATAAAATTTTGCAATCTAAAACACTGCATAGTAAAGTATTTAATTAAAAAAAATTAATTGATCACAAATAGTTGTATAGAAAAGTATGTGAAAATTTTTGAAAAATAAAAATAAGCAACTGCGAGGTTTTGCAATAGCAGCAGAGTTTGCTAGAAAAAACAAAAAATTTTTAAAACCAGCCGAGTTCAGGTATCAATTGGAAACAAATAAACAAACGCCCACACAGATACTTTGTGGCTAATCAATTTTTCAAATATCAAAAAAAACAAGAATATTTCAAATTTTTGAGAAAAGAAGCTCTCTCTCAAACTGTTAAAGATTGATAAAAGTTTCTCTGAATCTTCTCTTCTGAAAAAAACGAAAAAATGTCAAAATAGAAGAGCTGAATTTAAATTTAACAACACACAAACATTTAGTGTTTAATTTTGAAATTTCAAAAAGAAATATACTAACTTTAAAAATTCATTGAAATTGATAAAATTGATAAATAGATAAGAAATTCGAACTAAAATATATTTAACATTTCTCTATTCACTTCTCAAACATTCATTTATTCAATAATTAAGTAATGATGAAGTCTATAAATTATGAAAAAAAGTTTAATAATTATTTAAATTAAATAAGGAAAATAAATTATCAATCAAATATGAAATAAACCAAAATTACATTTAAAAATAAGAGCAACTTATTATTAATTAATATTAATAAAAATGGCTACAAACCAGCATCTTGGCATTAAATCTGTTGCTAAATCTCCAGTGGAATTTGTTGCTGTAGCATTAATTGGAGCTGCTAGAGAACGATAATAAGTATCATTAAATGCTGAATGTATCGCATTCATCTTCTCCAATACAAGCACATCCTGTCCATGTTCTTTTAATCTTACCGTATTTGCTTCCACATCTCGTAAAATGCTGTAAAAAAAGTTCCACATCATTTCATATCTAAGATAATTATAAATGCACTTAAGATAAAAAAGATAAATAATTTTTAGGATTATAAAGTTTTCATTTATTTATCGTAAATGTTATCTTTGTATCATATAAACCATTGTAAAAGATAATAAAAACACGATCACATCAAAGCTTTAAAGCATTTTGTTTTAGATTTAAAAAAAAAAATTAATTTCATATTTCTGAGAGAAAGAATGAAATTTGGAGTAATGTTATTAACAATTAATAATAGTATAATGAATTGTTTTACTGATAAAAAGTGCATGAAATAATATTGTAAACGATAAATACTAGAGAACAGATAATTGATGACTAATCTTTATTTACCTGGTGACACTTCGACATTTGACATCTATCAAGTAAACAAAAAAAAAACAAGCAAGAAAGGCTAAACTATAATTGATGATCTTTTGCAATAAATCAACAAATAATTTCAATACTTCAAATAATTGTTTCAATTGCTTTTAATTGGCAACTATGAAAAGTTTATTGAAATCTTTCAAATATTTTCTGTTGCCGATAAAATAATTAGGAAAAGATGTTATCAATGAAACAATAAATGCACTTCGAATGACGATCCAATTGAAACAATAAGAGAAAGATATGAGAAGAAAAAAAAAAGCTGAAGAAGAAAAACAGGTGATACTAAAAATACAACGTAGTAAAACAACTCATTTGTTTCTTTCAACTTTTCCTATACGACTATTTCGGGAATCTTTCTTTTTACATGATAAAACAGTACGCATTTATCTTCGATGACATGTAACCAGCCAGTTAATGTTAATATTTATTTTTTGACCTATTAATTTTGTTTCATTACTAATCAATTGATTTCATTAAACTGAATGATACAGTGATCAAAAAAACAGTACACATTTATCTTCGATGACATGTAACAACTAGTTGACGTTAATATTTATTTTTTGACCTATTAATTTTGTTTCTTGATTTCATTAGACTGAATGATACAGTGATCAAAAAAAAAGTGCGCATGATGATATGATGGAAACATTTTAGTGAGTGAATAATCGAAGTAAAATGAATTTGATAAATCAATATCATTAAATTTCTATCAGTAATTGTTGTATACTATGAAATAGTTAAAACATTTTGTATACTTTGATATTCGTTTTGCATTGTAATATGTGATATGATGATGATGAATTCTATGGACGTTATCATAAACTAATTAATCTAGGACAGTTGCGTCTAAATATCTCAATGAATGAATATGAGAATGGCGTGACAGGCAAAATGAAATGCCAACAACATGCATTACTTGTTTACATGTAAAAGAAGGTGCGCTCGATAAATAGGCAGCAAGATTTATTTCCATAGCTCATTTTCTAACTGCAAAGATGATTGCTTATCAACCAAATAACAAGTGGGGAAATCCATTGTCAGCTTAATCAGTAATTCTAAAAGAATCGTAAATTTAAAATTGAATCAATGGAGAAATTCAAATTAAAAGAGTTTATTCGATATAATACAAAAACATCTGAAAAATTTTGATTATTGAAAATTCTAAAAGAAAAAAATTAGCTGAGAAAATTTAAAAAAGTAAGAAAAATTAAAATGCATTAAAATTTAATTAAAATTAAAATATTACCTTTAGGTAAACTTTTCCTTTTTCCTAATAATAATTAATTTAAGCAAATAAGAATAAGAAAAACGGTAATATAAAAGAAGATGAATATGAAATGTTTAAAGAATTTTAAATTAAAAAACAAAAACAAAAAATGCTATAAATTATTTTCTATTATTGCCAATTCAATTTTTCAACGGATTCGCCAAAACAGATAGTCATAGCACTATGAGTGCTTTAATTTCTTTAATTACAAATTCTTCCTTCTTTTCACACAACATACATATATACGAACTGGCAATAACAAAAAAAAGAAATAAAAGTGTCAACAATTAATAAAATTATTAGAAAAAGAATTTTTGTTTTGAAAATTCAATAAATTAAAAAAAGTTAAACTAAAAATTATTTTTAAAAAAATTTAATTTATTGATGAATTTAAAAAAGAATGAAAGATATGTGTATATTTATGAAATTCTTATCAAAACCTGAAATGTGAATGAATTGAAATGTTAGCAGTTTCAATAAGATTTTAATTTGATACTTCTTTTGAAAGAGTAATTTTATTTTGAACCAATAATAGGATCAATATTTGTAGAAAAGTTAATTTTAAAAAGTAAGTGGTAATTTAGAAGTGAACAAAATATAGTTGTTAAATTGTATTTAACAGAGATCTTTTGTTAACATTTGAACGAAAAAGGCCATCTGATAAATTATATTCTATCATTACAAAAGGAAAAAAGAAAACTAGAAATTGAGGAATTGATGAAATTTATCAACAAAAATTTACGCTGTTCTTTTCTTTCATTCTTTGAAAGAGGTCAAAAAGATCAAAAAATTGGTGTAATATTATAAAATCAATCATACATTTTTATCAAAAAGAATTCTGCCTAAATATACAATAAATAAAATGAATTCATAAAATTTTTATTTAAGCAATTAAAATTAAAATATGTGCTTAATTTAATTAATGATCTAACCTCCTACCTTCTAATTTAGAAAGTTTGTAGAAGTTCTGAAATTTTTTCAAAATTGATCTTATACGATTCCTCCAATCATTTTATACCAAAATTTTCATGAAAGCATTTTATTGAATAGAAGGAATAATAGGCTGGAACGAGACCATAGATTACAGCTGCGCCAATATTAAACATTATCATCCCGCAAGACAATTTATTAATGCTTGTCATTCTTTTCCTCATCGAATTCGGAAATTTCATTGATGATTGTCAAACACAATTAAAATCAACGACAAAAACAATTAATTCACCATTATGCGATGCGATCTTCCCCGTTACACCTTCTCCTACTATATCAAATCCCTCACAATTACGCATTTTCAATAACTCTATGATAATACAAATATAGTTATTTGTGTTATCATAAACTTATTGAAAATTACAGATAGAATGTCACTTTTCAATTTTTGATTTAAATTGAAAGCTTCAAAATCTTAGCATATAAAAATCTAAAATGAATCAAACGTGTTTTTTGCAACCAGTATGTTGCATGCAACTGTTTTGCATCGATGCAATATGTGTGCTAATACATTGTATAGGCATCTTTCTATAGTAATATTTTCTTGTTATACTATCAGCCTTAAAACTATGCCTTTTTTTGAATAATAATTTCTGTAAATGTTAGGGACACTTTTTGAAATTTAATTCATTTAATGTGAAATTTTATCTAGATGAAAAGAATTCATTCTCCAATTCCAAAATTTAAATTTAACATTAAAAAGATTTAATACACAATCAAAATATCATTCAAAAAAGTACTAAAGCTTTAATTGTTGTAACGTATAATTACTAATTATTTTCAAATAGAATTTGTATGAATAACTCACCGATTGAAATCATTCTTATCAATGCGCAAAAATTGTGATTTATCTTTTCGAAGAATTACTGTAGCAGCACGTGGTGCATCATTTACCAAAGCTAATTTACCAAAATCATCACCTTCACGAAGAGTACAAACGACACCCTAAATTAAATTAGACTCATTATCATTACAGTTGCAATTATCTATTATTCATATTATCAATATCAGTTATCAGCGCTATTGCCGTAATAATTGTTGTGATAAAAAAGCATTGTCAATTTTATCATTAATTTAGCTTTTCAACAGCATATTTCTTACAAAGCAAACAGAATTGCTAAAGTTTTCGTTCTTTTTTATTTTTTAAAGAGCTAATAAAATAATAATTGCGAAAAGGATGAATGAAAGAGAAGTTGGATCATTGTCATTATCTCGTCGGATATGCATTATAGTTTTATGACCCGAAAACATTTCTAAAATCCTGTCTTGAATAATAATTGTTCAATTGAGCAAACATATGCTATCCAATAAAAAGAAAAGATTATACTTCAAAAATTGTATTTAAAAATTTAAAAGCAATTTTAAAAGCAATCTGAATGAAATATTCGAAATATCAATGTGAAAGTTTTCATCAAACTTTACTACTTTTTACCAAACTTTTATCAAAATATCATCACGGAATATTATCAATTATCACGACTGCAATACATATTTGTTTGTTTTCTGTTATCATTTAATTTCACTTTAATTTTCTAAATTCTTTATGAATTCAATAACAACAACAAACCTTTATGATAAAACTAATACTAAATTAATCATTTGATTTCCTTTTTCTTCTAAAAATTTATGTGAACATTTTCAAGGTGCGCCAAGAAATTATTAAAACTCTCAAATTATGTTAAAACAAAAAACTTCGTTTCGCTTATAAATAAAACGATAGCTATGAGAGTAAAAGAATCCTAAAAGGATTCATAGAAATTAGAAATATTTCGAAGAAACCATAAAATTAAATAATATCTCAAATTTCTTATATATTAAATGATTCAGTTCCATAAAAAAATTGAGTAATTTTCAGGCTGAATTATATTATATTATATAATTATGAAACTGTTGTTCGAATAAAATGGAATTGTATTTGGCAATTCCGGAGCAGAAAAATGGAAATGAAATATACGAGGAAAAAATTTTTAAACTAAAAAAGCTCGAGGATACTGAAAGATATAACCGGAAAAAAGTAAATATTATTAAATATAAATAAAATATCTTACATCAATAAATGTTATTTTAGGACATATTTAACGAAATTTCGACAATGCTCCATTCTCGACTTCCTTTTTTCTTAATTTTCGATATACTATTTGGCACATTTTTCAAATTTTAATTATGATTTGAGAAAAAAAATGCTTATATTAAAAAAACAAGGTAAGTTTAACGATGAATCATACTTTATGGCTAAAATCATTGCAAAGAAGATATTACTTAACCTCTAACCCAGTGAAATTTTAGTAGCAGTTTGAATGGATAATCGTTCTTCAAGTACTAGCAATACACAAATATCATTAATCAAAATAAATGATTTATCAATGAAATGTTAAAATTTAGATTTGAATTAAAGATATCAACACTTACTTTTCCTTGTATGATAACATCAACGGATCCTTTAAGGACAATATACCAACAATTACCCACATCACCTTCTCGGAATAGCACATGTCCGGCATGTTGATGTTGCTCGAAGAAAACAACCGCTGCTAATTCACGTTTTACCGTTGTACTCAAATGTGTCAATGCTTTCACGTGTAATAATTCCGTGTAAACGTGTTCCAATTCTTGCAACGTACGCTCTGATGACCTCAAAAAAGAGTACTAAAGATTAAGCAAAACTTTCAATGAATTATTCAAATATCTTTAAAAAAGTATCTTTGATCATTTCGCACAAAACCGGAAAATGGATTAAAGAGATTAAACAAACGGTTTTGAAAGAATCATTCGAAAGAGAGAATCAGGCCCAACGGTACTGAGGAGGAATATAGCTGCAGCAATATCAGCAACGTGTGGTATCATTTCTTGTTCCCCATCAAATATCACACCGGTTGTTAACCTGGGCATTTAAGATTTATAACTTATAAGTTAAGTCTTAAAATGGTTAACAATTATATCACAAAATAATTTTTTATAACTATAATTGAAGATTCACTATGTTTACAAAATATATTGAATTAAATAAATTTGCCAATATAAACGATAAAGAGATTATGATCGAAATTATCCGAATAAATAGTCTATGGTACCTCATATGAACACTAGTTGTGGTACCAATAGTCCAACGATAAAAGATATGTTTATCGGCAAATTGCAATTCATTGCTTACTAAAAAATATTAAATGTAATCGTTCAAATTTATATGACAAACTTTTTGATCAGTGCTTTTTTTAAACATCAATAATTTTGCTTTTATAATTACAATTCTTTCTTTGTTTTTTGTTTATTTGTTTATTTTTTCTTTGCAAAGATTACTTTGTGTATGAAAGTATTTTGTTGTCATTAACTATGCATTTCCTTTGACATAAAATGGCACTTATACCTTTTTGTTGTCATTAACTATGCATTTTCTTTGACATAAAATGACATTTATACCTTCAAACGTATATTTTTGATTATTATTCATTCAACAATGAAAAAGCTTAATTTTCAATTGAAAATTTTGCCTGACTCATCCGATTCAAATATTCTCAAAATAGCTAAATGAAAGTAATCCATCCATTATCATAATGAATTTCGCATTTCTTTATCTGCTAACTGACCACCTAATCGTGATACAGTTTAAGAAGCTAAATAATATTTCTACGCTTAGAACTCGTATTAAAATTTAAGGAACTAAATAACATTTTTATACTTCGAGCTCATGATAAAGTTTAGAGGACTAAATAATATTTCTACGTTGTGATAATTTATCTTAACTTGAGCTAAACCTATTTCAGTTAAGGCAATTTAGGATGAGATAAGAATGAAAATTAAATTTAAAACATACCATGTGCAATTACACCATTTTCTAATAATGCCTGCCATATACCAACAACTTGAAAACGTGTCAACGATATATTTTTGATCGATTCTAACGTATCGGTTGCAAGTACACTCAACCAATCAACCATTTCTGTACCAATCATACATGATAAAAATGACTAAAAGAATATTTCCATTAATGTTAACTTTGAGTTTTTTAATTAATTTGACTAAAACAATTGAATTATTTATAAATGATTTAAATTACATAACAAAAATAAAATGATTTAATTGCAAGAATTACATTTTCTATTTTCTCTTTCTCATCCATTCTCCATGTTTACATTTAAGTTTGTTATAGACAATTTAAATCTATCCTCAGATATGTTTGATATTTCGAGCAGTAATTCATTAAGCTTTATTGTATGATAATGGATAATTAATTAGATAATAAGTAAATTGAAGGTCAAATGAAAAACAATAAATGATAAGGAGGATTGTTATTATCAGTATTTTCACAATATCTATTCATGGCCAATAAGCAAGTCTATTATGAGTAAGACTTTTCAAAGGATTACTGTTTTAGTTTAAAAATTAAATTAGACTTGAGAATTAGAAAAGAAATATCAATTCAATCATATCTTTTCTATTAATGCTTATCATTTAACTTTTCCATCTTTGTAAAATTAAGAAAATGAAAAAAGAAATTTAAAAGAAAGCAAATTCATTCAAATTAATTCTGACATCTAAAAATTAAAGTAGAAAAATTTTTTCTTTATTTTATAAGCATAATTTCAATCTTGAGAATTTAATTCCAAGCTAAATTAAATTACTGCGCCACTATTTTTTTGGTACCATAATATAGATTGGTACCATAATATAGGTTAGTACCATAAAATAGGTTAGGTAACTGTTGAACGAATGATTAATGAATATTTTTCAGTTAATTCCACATTATACAATAAAAAGTAATTTATTTTTTATTTGTAAAAACTTTTTAGATTTCATGAAATAAATGACAAATAATTGTCATCTATACTTTTCACATTTTATTGAAATATTTTTTATATATAAAATGAATGCAAAACGTTACGTTCAAAAAATATAACGTTGTAATTCATTTTTATCTTCTGCCATTTTCTTTCCTTTCATTTCTCCTAATTTAAAAGGTCATTTAACAAAATGACCTTTTAAATTATCGTTTCGACAATATCATTCACAAAATTAATTCAACCATTTTTCGTAATATTTCCTTGATCAGATTATTCCACATCACTTTCTTAATTTTGCTCAAAATGCAGAAAAATACGGTGGCACAAATAAACCAACCCTTCACAAAAACAATTTGCAAATGAATTTTTGAAATACCTGTAAATAACCTCGACGATCACTGATAAGATATGGATCACGCATTTCCATAGTCTGTTTAAGAATATATCCTGCTCCATAGATTCTTGATTTCAATGACTAGAAATTTGTTTCGTATGAAATTAGCTTAATCAAAAATTCTTTAGGTTGATAAATTTTTTAACTGATAAATTTATCAATTTTTAACTTTCGATCAATAATAGTATTAACATTTTAAAAAAGTGCTATTATTTGCAAAAATTTCAATTAATTAAATCTGATGGATATGGTGATATCTAACATTATCTTATACTCTTATCAATTATATCAATGGGATGATTATTTGATTCTTCAATATTTTGCGCAGTAGAAGGATATACTTTTTTTCCTTACAACTGACAAGCAAAATATTAGGATAATGAAAAATTCAAATTAATGAAAAGAAATGCTTGTTCACTTACAGTAGAATAATTAAGCTCAAAATAACTTGAAGGCGAATTCCAATCACATTGCATTTCCTTATCAATATCAGCGCTTGTTGCATTTGTCTCATATCGCACATCATTTGCAATTTCGTTGTTACGCTGTTGCATTTCATAAAAATTATACGCCATTTTGTCATCTGTAGAAAAATGCCACAAATTCGTTGAAATATTTCGATTCAATTTTAGTTAATTTCAAAACTATCGATTTATTTTCGAGATTTAGATGATATTATTAATTACATTATATGCATAAGAGTTAATGATTTTTATGCCTTTGTTTTATCAATTGAAAATGATAAGACATGCCTAACTTTTTGATCAGCCTAGTCATTTGTATCTTCCTTTTTTTGTCGCTCAATTAATATATTATGATTACTGTGGAAAGAAAATTAACAGAATAATTTCTCAATTTCCATATTTTCATCAAATTTATTTGCTCCGGAATTCCTCTAAATCGCTAAATCCTTTTTATCTTTTGGTATTAGTGCGGGAGAGTTGTTAAACATGCTGATGCCTTATTATGATATACTTATCAAGTTAATTAAAATTCGCCATTATCTTCAAGCCTAAAGTTATGCTTTCGCTTGTAATCTTCCTAAAACTAATACTGTCATACTAAGAGAAAAATAAAAACATAAAATATTAGCTCATTTTTCCGATAATCAATCTTTTGATGAAAAAGCTAAGATAAAAAAAATAGTAAAGGCATGTAAGAGAATCAAAAAAATGAAGGCCTAAAATCTAAATTGAAATTTTTTATTGCTAAATTGAAATTGTTATTGCTAAATTGAAATTTAGTAATATTGCCTTTAAAAATATCCTTTCCTTTTCATACGATCACTTCCAATCTCATAAAGCCTTATCTTAATTATTGTAGAAAAACATTTGAATAGGTTTACTTTTTGCTTTATTTACAACTTTTTAAAATTAAAGTTTTTCCCAAAATTAATTAGTTAATTGTTTTCTCAAATCAAACTACGTAACATATATTTATACTTCCTTCAAATATTAAGTCTTTTGCATCAATCTAACCTTTCATAAAACAATTGAAATATTTTGGAAATATTTCAAAATTTTAATGAGCATGAATTCATGATTATATCTTACAAAATGATTACCACACTTAGCGCTTCACTGAATTCACATTTGCATTTTTACTCTAATAATATTATGCTAAATTAAAGTTGGAGACTCAATAAATTTTTTGAGTCTATTAGAATTCAAATCAAAATTTTTTTATTCATCCTAATTTTAATTCATTATTTACTGTGCAAATATTTTCTATTACAAATAGCGCCAGAATAGCATAACTAATATCGAAAACTTTAGTTAGTTTAAAAATTAAAATTTCAATCAATAAAAAAGGAACGAACAAACCAAGATCATCTGCTGATACAACAAGATCCTGAATGACAATAATATGTGGTTGTAAATTACTTGCGTATTTCTGCAATAAAAAGAAACAATTTAGCTTATTATAAATATATTCAAAAAAGGCGTGAAGAAAAAAGTAATTGAAAGGTAAAAAAAAAAAGGAATACTTTTAATTAATTTTATGCTAATTACTGTCATTTAATTGTTTTAGTATTGAAAATAAAATAGAAATTTTTGCATTGAACCATTAGAGCAAATAAATAATTTACATTTTTTAAAAAGAATAATTATTTTTTTGTTATCTTCTCATTGTAAGCAAAATAATTAATTTCAATCATAAACAAAAAGATTTTAAAAAGGTATATTTTGCAAATGATTGATAAACAGTTATTTATCATGCAAATATAAATCATTTTACTCTGATTAGTTACTGTTAATCTTATCCTATCATATTGTCTTTGTGAAAAAAAACCATTCTCCTAAATTTTATAACAAATCTGTCAGCATCTTTTGATTATATTCAGCTGGAAATAATTTTGCTACAAATAAAAAGAATGAAAGAATAAAATAATAATAGTACACTTGATATATTAAAGCTAAAAATGCTATAATAAACTGTTCTATTTCATATATTAATTATTCTATTCCAATTTCATATATTATTTTTTCATTTATACTTAAGTCTTCAACAATATCCAGTAATGTAACAAAAAATTGAAATGAATACAAATGATCCGTGTTACACAATAATAATTCTAAAATTCTCGTGTCAATGAAAATCTGTCATCTCAAAATTTTTGATTAGAAAATCTGTTTTTTTGAAATAAATAAAAAGAAATAAATGGTTGAAGAAGTTAGAAGAATGAATGTGAGAAATGTTTCATATAATATAATACTATATAATATAATATAATCAAATAATATAATACTGAATTGTGAATTATATGAATGCGAATATAATGAAGAAATAAAATACTATTCATTCCGGCAATCTTTTTACCTTTCATTTTCTTTTATATCTCTTGTAATATCAGAAAAAAAATCACTCTGCATTATTTATCTATGGATGCTATGATGTACAACCATTGGATGTTTACCTGATTGTCCACTTCTTTATATGCTATTTCTAAGCTTACATAAAATTTGCATACAAAAAAAAAACTGAAAATACACTACCAATCAGTTATAGTTAAAGTTAATATTGCCTTGAACTTTTGTAGTGAACAATTGCAATTTCATGTCAAAGCCTATCTTTGTAATATTTCCACCAAACCTCTGTCAACAACCAATGATAGAAAGAT